TTTGGAATAAAAGGAGGAGAGTGAAAGCTCTGCATGACAGGTTAAGAGTTGTCTTGCCTGAAAAACTACACAGTCTCCAATGTTAAGTGGGAAAGTGCAGTACAAAAGCATAAGCAGAATATAAAACTGGGGAGACTGCCTTTCATTCTGAAAATATTCAAGTGATATTTCTGCACAGGATGGAGTCACAGATTGGTCCTGTTACAATCTACCCTTTTCACTTGCTTCCCGCTTGGTTGCTAATCTGGCTGTGAAGAGATGCAAAGGAAACTTGCTGAAATGACTACTCAGGAAAATCAGTTATATCTGCAGACATTTGTAAAAACAGATACATCTTCAAACTTTCAAGACTTTAAGCCTGATATCTTGGGAAACTAAAAGTGGTGACTGGGAAAGTTGGTAGAGTTACTGAGGAAGACTTCAGAAGGAAGGAAGCTCTGGCCTGGAATTTAGGAAAGGAAGTCCTTTGACACCAGAGACAGCAGCTCTGAAACACAGCTGCCAGCTAACCATTAACACCTCCAGCAGCCAACTTTAATGCATTAATGGTTACACTAACCCTTGCCAACCTCTGAGCAGTGTTCTAAGTGACACCTCAAGGTAAAGTAAGGGGATAAAAATGCTATCAAGGAAGATATGAATAGAAAGCATTCTTATGGAAAAACGTAAATGCTTTCTACTAAGGAGTGATAAGTCCTAAAAAATAAATCCTGTGCCATACCATCTCTGTTGGGAGTGAAGCTATAAAATCTGGGGCAAGGCATAAAACAACAAAAGGCAAAACGAGCTTATTAGCACCCTTTCATGGGTTTTGGCTTCTTCCCTTCTCTCTTATTTTCAAAACTTGAACATACACAAAAACACTGTGAAAATCAGTTGTCTAAGGCATTGTTGCCCTATGGCCACAACTGGCAACCCAACAAGCATAGAGAGAGGTTTCAGAGATTTTATTCCATATCTGATGGCCTTAACTGTGTTTTAGTTTGCTTGTAGGATTTACTACTGCAATGGAATACAGTTTTTAAAGAAAAGGTAAACACTGCTATTTACACAGAAAACACATCTCTCTACCTACTGAAGCACAAGCTCTTAAGAAAAGTGTTTATTGAAATTTAAGTATAATAAAAGCAGTGTTTCAGTAGGTTTCAGATATTCATGGCGGTACATTTTCTTTCAGAGGCTCTTGGTTTTGCTTTATCATTTCTGACATTTCATATAGCATGTTATAAGCTTTTTCAGGGGAGCAGCACTTTTACTAGAGCAACAAATTGCACAGATGGGAGAGGCTGATGCTAAACATTATTAAAAGATCTTCCTTCCCAAAACAAGAAATGAATGCAAAAGTATAAAATCATCTGGAAGCACAAATTCTTTAGAAAAACACAAGAAATAAATAAGGGATATTCTGTTTTTTAATAAGAAAGTCACCTGTGCATCTGTCTGTTAACTCTTCTTACTATACATGTCTTCAATGGTCAGATGAAAAACTGTACTATGATTTAACAAGACAGTCAGTACATATAGTTTAGAAAACTTTCCAGATTTCTGTTATTTATTTGTCAAAAGACACATGGCTACAGCACAATTTTCCAAGACCATTTCCAAGGAGTTCTAAGGCCCCATAATAAAATCAAAATCAGATTGTATTTAAAATACAGACATTAATATTCACTTTTATAACAACACTGAGATTACCACTACTTCTAAATTCTGATAATGGCAGTTTCTGGAAATGATTTGTTGGTCTGCCTCTCCAGCCCATTTGGTGACTGCTTTGATACATAAATTGTTTGCAGATCTATACACTTTGAAATTCTTCAGAGAAATATCCATCTTTCTTGTTTAAGTTCGTAACTGTCAGAGGCATCTCCCAAATATCAATACATTTTCAACTTGATTTACATTGGGGTAAATTATCCACAAGGTCTTTTTTATTTTGTGGTTGTGGAGATTTGGTTGTGGAGATTTTTCTTTTCCTTTTTCTGTTGGTTTCTCCCCATCTACTGTCACCTTTCAGTTTTCACAACAGTCGTGCACTATGTTTATTTCTAAATGCTTTCACGGATCATATGATCCATTTAATAGCATACATTCTTTTGAATAATTCCTCTGTTCAGTTAACAAATTTATGTTCATTTTCTGCCAAAATGCCTAGGGTATACAAACCTTCTTCACTCTGCATGTTTTGTTTGCAGACAGCAATGAAGCTAGCAGTTTCCTTAAAATTTCAAGTTAATAAATCCCTGAGTAATTAGTTGACATAAAGTGTCTACACTATACCATTGAACTACCAAGGCAAGGACTGGCACGGCACAATTTAGCCTTCCAAAAACCCCTTATCCTCAGTCTTGGAAAGTCTTGTGTTTACCTAAGGCCTCTTGATAAAGCGGCTGATCCTCTTCCTGCTGAAACCAGTGAGGGAATTGCCAGTGACCTCAATAAGAACAAGGTTCCAACACCACTACCCCAAGGCTTTATTATTTCCAATTGTCTCGGTACACATCACAGGCATTAAGAAATATGTCTCCACCTCAAAAGTAAATCCTTTGGGTGTGCAGCTGTAGATAAAACCACTTTGCACTGAGATAGCACTTTCTGTTTCAATACATTTTACAACTGATTATGCCTTTCAATCCCTCCAGTAAGATAACCACTTCATAGTACAGACTGGAAAACCAGCACAGAGTTACTGTCATTTGCCCAGTGAAGCATGGGTGAAATTCCAGCACCCAGCCCCTTTGGGTCCATGTCCCTCTGCTGCTGGGAAGGAAGATCACAAGTCTCTGTAACTAATCAGCATTTCTCTTTATGAGAACTGAGCTATAGCTTCATAATCCTTTGTTAACATCCACATCTGTGATCTGATTCCACAGAAGGAAAAGAGGTTATTTTACCTTTCAAGGCCCAACCTCAGTTTGTCGAACCTGCCTCACATATCAGTGTCCAAAAGCTTCTCCAAGCCAGCTGGGTAGAGCTTAGGCAGTGCTCCTAATCCCACAGCACATTTCCAGACTCAAACCTTCTTTGAAATACAGAATGAAAAGCTTGGGCAAAGCACCTGCAATCAGCATCTGAAATGTCCCTGTTACATGCATACGCTTCCTCAGAGCTTCCCCTGCCCTTTGGCTGGCCACAAACTTTGGCTGCAGTCAGCAGAAAACCAGAATGTTTATTCTTCAGGCATGACTAGCAGCACATCTCTGAAAACTGCCAAGATATAGCAAGCCTGTTTCCTAGCATTTGCTCTTTTGTTTTTTTTGCAAGCCTGATGGTTTCCACCCTTCTTGCCCTTTTCCTCTAGAAAAATATTTCTTTTAACCTGTATTCCAAAGCTTATAATGTATCTCTACTTTGGGCTTCACAGCAAATTTCTAGGCTTGGTCCTGGTGTCAGATCAACCTCACCTATGAGTGAGTACCTGTGCAGAAGAGACACTGCTGTGGTCTTCAAGGGTCCCGACTGCTGAACAGCAGGAATACTTGGTCTTGCTTTAAATTACCCAATATCCTCACCGTCAGTATTTGAAAATGCAGTGTGGCTCAGGGAACATTATATTAGTATTAAGTGAGCTCACACATCTGAATTTTGTGTCTCTCCTTACAATCTTGCAGCCTCACCTGCCATATTAATAGCATTACAATGACTTCAGTGTTAGCACTTGAAAAAGCAAAAACTGGTTTGAGCAAAGCAGATACCTGTTAACACTATAGAAGGAATAGGTAGGAAAAATCTTCCTCCAGTTGCTAAATAAAAAATAACTATTGCCTTCCACTCCCTCCTTAATTCTAGTTGCCAAGTTCTTGCTCTCATCAGATACCTCAGCTGAGTCACAGTTAGTGGATTGGTTGGAAATGCCTCACGTACTCTAGCTTGTTCTCTCTCAACTCCTCTTTATTTCTTGAAATGATATAAAAAGAATTGACCCATATGCAAACTTACTCTCCTACTATTGTGGTGTGCTTAAAACTCTCAATAATATGACAAAAATATGGCTTAAGAATCTTTCTGACACACGGATGGAGTTCTGGGGGGTCGCATTTTTGTGGTAAGAAGAGTTTGTTTTCCTTTGCTGGAAACAGACGAGTTATACATTACTGTGAGGCAGATCATATTTACAATTGAATGTGCCAATTAAGATTTTCATACTTCCAGACACACAGCAGAGTCAGGGCTGCATTTGCCAAGGCAGTCAGGAGACATTAATGAAGCACACAGAACTCTGCTGCTGTCCAGAGGAAAGCTGATTGTGAACCAACAGACACAGTCACATAGGTTTGTTATATAATTTTGGTCTTTACTAAAATAGCCAAAATGCCTGGCCATACTGAGAGAATCTCTGTGAAGGAGCCTGTGCTTACAGTGGTGCTCCCAACCTGGGAAGTACTGAGTGTAAAACATTTAAAACACTCCAGTTTTACAGTTGACAAAAAACAGCAAAGAGGCCCTAGACCTCATCTGGTGATTAGGAAAGGCACGGGACAGACTCTAATTTCCCTTGAACAGGGTACATTTTTCTCCCCAGAGCTCGGATCCAGCTGTGCCTGTTGCCCAGTCCTGCTCTTGTTTGCATCACAGCTGCCAGAGCACACAGCCAGTGCTGCGCTCAAGGACAGCCCTGCCCTTGTGCTGGTGCAGCCCTTGCAGGCACCACTGGAGGAGGAGTGGAATTGTGAAGGTTGTTACAGGCAAGATAATATCAAAATAAATAAGCTATTGGTAGTCCTGATTTCTAACTGCTCCCTTGTACTGCAGGCCTAAGGTAATCAACAACTGGGCAAGGGGCCAGGCAAGACTGAGTCTCTGCAACCAGCACAGCTGAATATGCTGAAAGACAATATAAAGGTGTTTTTGTCTCAGCTATCTGAGACAGCCCCAGAACTCCACTGAGATTGCAGAAGGAACCTCAAGAGTCATGGACTTGTCTTATTATTTAAGGAAGTCACATCAGCTGAGGCCCTTAAACTCAGTTGGACGCTGTACTAACACACCGAGCAAATGCCTCAGTGCACTGCTAGAGACTTTCAGCATTTATTTATTTTTCATATTAAGATACAAAGTGAAAACATTCTTCAGAGGCCATACTACACTGTAAATTATTAAGATTTTGTTCTAATACTGACAGCTTGAAAACTGCATGGGCTGGGTCACGGAGCTTCAGAGCTGGAAGAAATCCAGTTCCGTCAAACACAGGAGCTAGAATGAACTCAGATAACATCAACAGAGACATAAAATTTAGTCCACTGAACCAGTTGGTTTTTTTTCTTTTCCTTATTCCATGTAAGATTCCTGAAATCATTCTTATTATACAGTGTGAAACAGAAACTATTTAAAAGAAATAATGAATGTGAATAAATATATACATTTTGGAAATATAATAGCATGTTAATTAATTACAAAAATGTCAACAAAAATAGAGAAATCACAGTTCCTATGGCAGCTGTCTATACTGATATTATCACCACAAAAAAACTTGGTTTTAGATGAATGAACATTGTATTTAAAGGGAAAGTTTAAAACAATAGATATTTTAATTCAAGAAAAAGATTAATGTTATGAAATGACAGGTTCTGATTACCAAAGCAAGTTTTACTATGAGGAAGAGATAAACATGCACAACAATGTTTAGGCTATGGGAAATTCTCCTGAATGCTGTGCTCAAAATCGCTTTTTTATTACATGCTTAACATTCATCTGAATTTAATACCTGTATGTGTACCATGAAGAAAACATTTGCAGCGTGTGGTGGGGGGAAACTGTAAATAACTTTTCCACATCTAGTTTCTGGTCATAGTAGGATCTGCAGTGGGATGAAATAAACAGAGCATAGCTTAAACTCCCCATAAACCAAAACAAAAGGCATCACAATATTTCATACGGGTCATATACATATATATCAGTTTTCTGACAGCAAGCTGGTCTTTATGACATTTTGCAGCGAGGTACTGAACACTTATTAGAAGCTGCATAAAGATGACTGGGGATTTATCGCCCTCTTGTGAGTAGGGGAAAAGTTACAATCTTCCTGAAAGTGAATGCACAATTGTTGCTGTTCCTAAAGAATCCTGTAGTAAAAACACATCTGTACAATTAATAAACAGAAATTCAGGTTACTAAAAAAGGTAGGTCTGCTGGTTACTGTAATAATCTACAATAATTTTATCAGAAAATGATAAATTTCAAAATCAAAAATAATTCTAATTCAAATCAGAACAAGCAAGATATTTTTCTCTGTAAGCAGGAAGACAGTAATCTAAATCCCACAAAATCACTGCCTAAAGCACTGATGTCAAATGCACAGATTAGCTCAAAGGTGTGTTAACCTTCCCTGATTGCAGCCCCAAAAGATCTTTCAATTTCAAATGGAGCAGGAGGATGAAAAAACCTATTTTTGCCATGCAGAAGATTTGACCTTTTTACTGCAAAGTAAATTATCGATTTATAATCGTGGGTGTAAATACAAATTTATTTGGAGATGCCAATGAGATTTGCAGACATCAGCAGGTGTGTCTTGCTCCAGCACTTCACAGGAGCTCCAAAGGAAACAGGCTAACTCAACACTGGGAAGCCATCACACTTCTACTGAATTATTTTTAGGGAACTTCCTCTTTGTGGTATTCCTTTCTTCCCTGCTGCTCTGCATCCACTCAGGGTGCCACTGCTCATTTCCTTCTCCATCTCCGTCTGCTGTCCCTCTCCTTCACCAAGAGACCACTGAAATCAAGGCAAAAGCCATAAAATGTTCAGGCAAATTCACCACCCTTCACCTGACAAAACTCCAAGGCCGAGGAGCTGTTGTACACCAGGGTTTCCATTTCAACCTTGCCCTAAGGATGGGCATCTACATCATCCCTTCCTTCTACCCCTCCCTTCCTCATGCACCCCTCACTAACTAAATACTCCAAAGGGAACCCTTCCAACCTAAACAACTCTGCAACTGCTCGCTCCCACACACTTCCCTATGTCCCTCATTAGACAGAGTGCCCACCATGCCCTACCAGTTTCCTCTTGGGCTCAGCCTAGGGTGTCACCACATGACCACGGGCTTCCCTGGGCAGGCATGGGCCCCTCCTGGCTGCATGCACAGCACACCCTGAGTGTTAATACAGATTCATTCTCGTCTCCTGTCACCACACCTAGTAACAAGATGGCTCTCTCCTGTACATCTGCAACAAAGAAACCTTACCAAAACTCTCTCCTGAGATTATTATCAAAGTATGATATCAAGGAGCCAAGTGTCATTTGATCACAAGTAATAGAGGACCCTCATCCTGAGAAGCAATAATAACACTGCCTTAGAGGAATCTGAGAGCTTCTGTTTGTTTGTGCTGCCTTCCCTAATTTAAAATAAATAAAGCATAAATCCTATCAAAATGGAGACACCACCAAGCCCTACTAGTACAACATAATAACCATTTCCCTGAAAAACTATGTATTAATACCACTTAGCATAATAAATATTTAAAATTATACTGCAGTAAAGAATATAAATTCACCTATGTCCTTCCTCTTCTTAGTAGTGACTGTTAATAAACAGCTTTATAGCTGCTATATTTAAATGCAATTATTTCCATACATTTCTAGCTTAATGAGAAATAATACATATTCATTTCTGCTCATTAACAGTCAGTATATAACTCTTAGCTAATGAACATTCAATTATGTTCTCTGAATACATTGTGGGATAAATTCTCTTTTTGTTGCTCATATCAGTTCACTTCAATTCAGTTGCTGCTAATTAAAATTTTTTTGCCTCATGTAGACAAACCTGGGTTTTTTGGAGTCCCTGGAGACTTTTTTAAGAGTTCTGTTTTATCTTTATGTACAGTCAGCTCTCTAATTAATGCTTTAAATAGGGTAAACTTTACTGAGGCTCCTGGGTTCAGTTCAAAGGGAAAAAAACCCCAGCTGGTAATTTTATATCTCATTCTCACACAAATCACTGGAGTCTGTCTTTTTCTTGTAAATCTACTTTTTTCTTTTGTTTTCAAGTGAATTCAATAATCAGGGAATGTGCCAGTTTGAGAGCACTGGGAGTTGGAGAAGCCCCATCATCAGTCAAGAGCTTTCCTTACCCAGAGGAACAGAAGAGAAATTCTTGTCAAGTTGTCTAGTTCTGCAGCCAGCTCAGGTGAGGAAGGAGGAATCTCCAAGGGGACATACCCAAGGGACTCCCTGAGATAACACCACCTCTATTTTCACTCAGCATCAGCAAGAGTCAATGCTGTGTTTTCCTAAATTGTTACCAGAGCTGGCTCAGCAATCTATCTGCCTGTCTAGGACCAAAAATCCAACCAAGTCCTACCTACTCCACTGAGACTAACACCACACAAACTAAGCATTTACTGAAGTGTCTCCCTTTGCAGAGGTCATTATCAGGTATGACTTGCTAAATGAAGTGATTAGGTTCTTGCCTCTGATTTATTTGCCTTATGTCCATTAAGCATTGCAAAACGAAGGGAATTCAGCAGAAGAAGCTTCAGGGAACTTTCAGCATAAGGTTTTCCTCTTTGGTGTAGCATGCTAGGACTCCATTACCTGCATTTATGGGCTGGCATGGATAACACAGGGACAGCAACTTCTCTCTGACAAAAACAGCTAGAAAAAAACTTTCAAACTGAATGAAGCACTTGAAACTTACCAAGTAAACACTGTGAACCTTATGTGCATCAATGTAAGGAACATAAGACAAACACAAAAAGTCTAACATTTAGGGAAGAAGGGGCAGAGGCAGAGAAACAAATGTCTGTAAGAGAAAACATCTAGAAATACCCAAGAGAAAGATTAGCTTTAGGGGCATTCTATTTAACATTAAATGAAAACTCAAAGATATATCTATCTCAGCACCTGTTTTAGAAGAAAAGAAAAGGTCTGGGTTTGTGTATACGTGGATGACCCCCATGTGTGACTGGTTCCATGCATGCAGGTCAGACCTCCTCCAGTCCTCAGGTACCTGAGTGCTGTGAAATGAACAGTCCAGAGCTGCTTTCCTCGCTTGGTCTCGCTTAACCAGTGAATTCTACTGAGGGATGTGCAGAGCTGGATTCTCAGGAGACTGAGATTGATTGACAGAACCCTAGGGGCTTACACACCCACCCTATGTCATCCAGCCCACCACAGTGCTATTTGTGTGGCATGACACTGAGGTTGTGTGGTGCACAGTCAGGGCATAAAGACCTTTGAGTTTACACAGCTTACCAGGATAACGTTGGAAGACTGTCCCAGGTGGAGAAAGACAAACTTCATGTGTCTTGTATTACACTTTTGCCTGCCCTGATCTACTGGAGAGAACAGGCTGTCAGCTGGGCCTAGATGGGCACTTAGAAGGCATTAGCAGGCATTTTTCCAGGAGGGAGGCACAAACCGAACTGGCATTAGGGGACCATGGCCTAGACAGCAGGCAAGAGAGAAAGAAAGCAAAAAAGTCAGAAAACAAGAAAGAAAGCAAGAAATAAGTGTTGAATTGAGAACAGAAACACATGGCCATTACTGCTGTCCTCATACACATTTCCCACAAGCAGGTCACATTTAGTAGCACAGACAGAAACTGGAAAATCAGAATGGCAAGTTGCAAAAAGAAGTTTTTTAGCTGGTCCTTGAGAGGAGCTGTTTTTCTTACAAGCAGTGAACAGATGCTCCCCAACTGCTGTGTGCAGCAGTGTTACACAGCCGGGCCAGGAGATGGCAGATTTTTGTCAGACAACAGCAGGGAGCAGGTCAAACACGGCAGGTTTTCAATTTCTGCATCAAAAATGTCTGTGTACACATGTTCTTATAAAAGTAAAACAACAGCCCTGATCAAAAGAATTAAACAGACAAGTATTAAAAAGGCCACCTTCTTTTAGCCTCTGGTTCAGATGAGGAATTACTGACAGAAGAGTTACAAAAAAAATGTTAAAAATGTTTGCAAATATTTCATATTCTGCAGTATATGCTTTTGCCTACTGCACATTTTATGATAAGAAGATAAGTTAGAGTATATTTTTTAAAAAGTGAGGATGAGAGTGACAGAGGTATAATTGATCTTTCTCCTCTGGGTTCCCCCCAACCCTGCTTTCTGTGGTGATTGTGCTGATCCAATTCATTCACAGCTCTCAGCTTTTTCAGAGGACAGTGCTGGTTTCAAGGACTGGCAATCACAGGGAAATCCTGGAAACCAGCCAAGGGAAATCCTACACTCATCAAGCTTCCATTATAGGCAGGCTTCAGTTAGACCAAATATATTATTATGACTACTCCTTAAGCACCTGCAGTTGCAAAACACAAATAATAATTTTATAATAATTAAGTTTTGTGAATGCTGATGGTATCTTTGTGGAAGCAGAGACGTCAAAGTGGGAGCTGAATTATGAGATGTTTATAATTAGTTTCATTATAGCAACATGAAGAGTCTGGCAACATACAGACAACTGTTGTGCCAGGAAGTACCAATATTTTTGTGTGAAGGAGAAATTGGGAAAACACCATAGCAAAACGAAGTGTTTGAACCAATGTCACGCAAGAAGCCAGCGGCCTGAGCCCAGCGCTGGCTGCACCCAGACTGGTGGCTCAGCCCCACCACTGGACCGGATTCCTGAGAGAACCCAAAAGCCTGCTTCCTAAATGTGGAACTTCCTCTTGGGTTGAAAGCAGCAGCAGCCAGGCAGGCGGGCAGAAGGTGCCTGAGGCCGGTGTTTTACCGCACCGCCGGCCCTGCAGAGCCGCTCCTGGCGCACCCCTCAGGGCATCCAGCACGCCGAGAAAGGCGGCAGAGGATCTGTAGACCTCTCGTGCTCAAGAACCGGAATCACTGTACCCGCCTTTCGCAGTGGTGAAAATGCACCATTCTCCTAGAAACGACCTCTGCCGTGTGCCAGACCACGCTGGCCCCTGTCCTCTCTCAGATAATGGCCCGCGTGGATCCCAGTGCTTATGAACATCGACCTGGATCGCGTCTCAGCTGCGCTGCCTGCAGCGCTCACCGCGCTGGCCAGCGGGGCAGGGCACGGCCGGGGCTGAGGGGACGCGGATCCCAGCGGGGCAGGGCACGGCCGGGGCTGCGGGGACACGGATCCCAGCACTGCCACCGCCCGCCCTCACCTGCCCGAGGCGGAGCTCCCGCGGTGGGCAGGGCCGGCCGGAGACACTGGCCCCGGGCTCCGCCGCCGGCTTATGCGCAGCCGCC